AATTATTTAAATTTATATTCAACTGGTCAGGAACTAATTTTACATATTCGGACAAATTTGCTCGGGGTGGCGATTTTCGATGCGGGGTGGCGATTTTCGACGATTTTTCCAGTAACATATTTGGTCGTAAACCTATTCATGTTTGTATATATTTTTATATTTTATTGGTATTTAATATGTATTACGGGCTTTTTTCGAAACTATTATTAAAACAAAACTTATTTACATAAATATGACTAATAGTTACTACTAGTATAATCTAGTATCATGGTAACTTAAAAAATCGAACATAAATTATTATGATTATATTACTACTTCAGTCATTAGTCACATTTTTGTAAACAATCTTTATATTAATCATGAATATGTAATTATTTTTTATTTATTACATAGTGAAGTTAACTGATTAGTTACATAATATATTAGATACTCACTCCGTCCCATAGAGAGGTCCCCGTTACGGTTTACGATGTTTGACTGATGATAAAGCAAATTAATCTTTGTGCACACTCTGATTATTTTTAGTAAATAAAATTTACGTATTTAGAAACTATATTAAAACCGCTACAAAGCTTGATAAAAAATGTAAATTTGATAAAAATTTGATATATAAAGCAAAAAGATTAAGAATGATTTAAGTTGTTCATGTGAATAGTGGACGGGAACCTTTGAATGTGACAAATGTAGTATCATTTATGCATGTTTTAGCGCCTAGCGCGTTTTAAAACAATGATATAAAGTAGTCAAAGGCGAGGGGTACACAAATTACTATGATTGAATGAAAACTGAAAAATGACATGTATATTATTAATAGAGTTTCTCCAGACAAAGATATGACTAGTTATGTTTTCGGGACAAAAATATGTCTATTCACTGTGTAAGAATAATTGAACAAGAGTCATTATAGTGTATTTCAAAGTGACAAATCACGGGTAAATGATGAGTCATTGGGAACTAGTCACTCAATGTCATTTTTTTGGAAAATTTTAAAAGTCATATTTTTGTTTTTTGAATTTAAATTTTGTAATATTTCACTTTAGTATTGAAAGCAATTAATTGGGACTGGACTTCAGGATACTTTTTGTTAGTGATTTATGTATTGCAGCATACAGTATCAGACATTCAAAATTGTACACATCTCTTAATTATACAAAGGAAATTCAAACTCGAAATGAGCGGAAGGCTAGTTGTATCCAGTGATTAAGATTCATTAAAAATCTATTGTACTTCAAGTTCAAGCAAGGTTACGCTTAATTTTAAACATTGATTATGCTGATCTGTCTTCTGAGAAAAAAATAGCATGGTTAAAACTTAAAAGTATGGATTTTTCCTTCAGTATTACACATGAACAAAATGTGACTAATTTGATAATAAAATTTGGAAATTTTGAAATTAAAGTCACTACCATTTTACCATGTCATTGAAAATTTATTATTTCATTATCAATCATAGAAACTGTTGAAAATAGGATTGGAACATATATAGACAAATTCTAAAATATGATCAAATATGTTTTCTTTGTAAAATATGACTTATTTAATCATATTAAAGAATAAAAGAACTAAAACTTCTCTAAATAGGAATGTTATGAGTCCTAATTAATTTTGCGTAAAAACACTATAAATCCTAATTGAGAAATTTTACAAAGTTTTACTCCTACTATCGGATATTTTCTCAATCAATTACTCCGTACTATATATCATTGCCACTATCGGTGTCACTACTTAGAGCATCTCCAATGCTATAACGTGCACGGTGCACACGTGGCATGAGAGATGACCACATAAATATTAGTACATAAATTCTTTCTCTCCTTATTTAAATGATTTTATATAGTTTTGGTAAGTTTTTCTCCACAATGTCAAGAAGACCGTCTAAATGTTGACATTGTTGTTGACATTGCAGGAAAAAACTTACCAAAATTATATAAAATCATTTAAATAAGAAGAGAGATAATTTATTTGTTAATATTTATGTGGCTATGACTCATGCCACATGTGCACCGTGCACATTAGAGCATTGGAGATGCTCTTAGTGCCCATATCACTTTAACCACTATGTGACATGGCATTGTGGCTATTGAAAAAAATCCCAATTTGATCGCGATCAGCTTTTGTTGGTACGGCCTCCAAAGAGGGAATATCGCGGGACTTGCATCACCTATTACTCCGTATAAGATTGCTCCTCTATCCACACAAAGAGAATAAGCAACACTTCCCTCGTCCCTTTGATGGGATTTAATTACTCCGTAATTCCTAAGACCTACTACAGAAGGGATACTTGGGGTGAGTGGTCATTGACCAAATGACCAATGAAGTGAGCCACAACCCCAAATATCAAATTCTACTCCGTATTTGTTTTGGGAGAAGGGGCAGGCCGAGGTATATATATATAGAACTATAGGCAGTCTTACACGTAGAGATAAATGTAAAAAAAATGCATATACCTACCCCAAATTTAAAAAATGCATTTAATTTTAGTGCAGAAAAATCTGTGTAATATTTTTCTAAAAAATATCTTTGTATCGACCTAGTCCGGTCCAATGCATAGGCTCCGTGGTCACTTTGGAAAAAGTAGTGTCGTTCTTAAGCACGATGAACCTTCAAAACAAAATAAATACGGAGTACTTCGTTTGCACGCCTAATAAAGACAAAGGTTATATTAAAATAAATTCTTATTCACAAAACTAAACAGCTTTGATTTAAATTAAAAAGTAAGTTGAAATGATTTATGTATGTAATTCGTCAACCATAAGCAGTTAACTGGAAATGGTTTTGAATGTTACTAGCTAATTATGTAGCTAATGAATTGAACACTTTCAACTGACTTTAAATACGTAGTATATATAGGGAGTAGCATATAAAGAAAACACAACCTTGTAAAAAATGGTACTCATATTGTTACGGACCATTGAGAAATTATTGTCCTCGTGGTACACATACTCCCTCCGTCCCGTTGGAATGTTCCCGGTTTGACCTACACACATATTAAGGAAATAAACTTATCAGGGGGCAAATTTTACTGTTTTGACACTCTTTAGACACTGTTTGGCACTGTTTTGCACTGTTGGACACTGTTTTGATGTAGGATAACTTTCCATTTAAGGAAATGAGAACTTCTTTTTGGAACATCCAAAAAAAGAAAGTAGGAACATTCCAACGGGACGGAGGGAGTATATTATACTCCTCCGTCCTGCAAAATAGTTCCCAGATTTCTTTTTGAGCTATCCCAAAAAATAGTTTTCACTTTCCTTTTTGGAAAGTTTTGTGTAGTTCACATTTATTTTTTTTTTCTTACTCAACCACAACCAAATATTTCCACTTTATTTTCACTTTCTTAAACTTCGATCCAAGTCAATACGAGAACTATTTTCTGGGATGGAGGAAGTATATATATGTGAGGTTGGATTCATAATTGTTTGCCAATAATGGATACTCCTCATTATATATGGAGACAAAAACGTACCACTGTATTAAAGTAGTGCAAGATTGGAACAAATGGGCAGTAGGCCTCATGAAAATGCCGGAAAGCAAAGATGATAAAAAAACAACATAAAACGTACAATGGATGGTTCATACAATAATTGCGACTTACGAGGCGTGCGACATATCTCCCCCGCCACCTTCTCTACTTTTGATCAGCTATTCATAGCTCAACGGCCCTCAGCTAGTTAATTAATGGAATTATTATTGAAGGCCTGGAAAATGTCTATGGTATCAGACATCAATGATACTCATGAAGAGTGGGTTGGAAGTTCAAATGGTGCTCTCTGTATGTTGCAAAAACAATTAAGTTGTACTTTTTCTAACTTTTCATCTTACATGTTGAATTATGTGATAATCACAATAAATAAGATTTTAGTTATTTTTTCTGCTGAATTGACTGAAATTGTTGAAAAGACTATCGTAACTCTTTTGTAGTTGAAACAACAGTCTTTCTAATGGATTTTTCAGCTGAAATTTGTTGGGTATAGACTAGATTTGATTATAAATATGCTCAAAAAATTGTATCAAAAGTTCCATGAAGAAGGACCCCAAATGACATCGATCGGACGTGATTCCAGTTAGACCGGTTGGACAGAAACGCTACTCTCTTTTAGAGAATGTCTATATGGCTTGAACCAAAGCCAATTTCTACCCTAGACAGATGCGATCTATGACACAAGTCACACAACATTGCTTGTCACTGGCAATATGGCATTTGATTTTTTTCAAATATGTTTTTTTTAAGGAGGTGTAAGAAAATTATTATCATTAGTTCGCGTAGCTCAACTCATAGATATGAGTGTTATATGGGGTAAGTCTCAGTTCGAATATTCACAATCATGAAATTGTGATCTGATGTTATTATGTAAAACATACGTAAACAGACGTTCTTTAAGTACCTAAGTCACAATCTCACTCTGTATTTATAAACTTGTAATTAAAGTTCAATTTAGTTTCTCCCAAATCATTATCTCACCAAAGTTGGAAGGCCCGCACGAGTGTCGTCCTTTTATGTTAGAAAATTATTATCTGGCGGATAAAAATTGACAAAAATACTATGGGTACCCCAAAATGGAATACCCCATTTTTATCCATTTATTGTGTGACTCAAATGAGGCAACTCATTTAAATGATGATCTCATTTGAACCACAACATGAGTGGGATAAAAATAGAGTACCCTAATTTGGGTACATCAAGCACAACTCAAAATGGATATCCATTCTTTTTATCCATTTACAAAAAAAGGATGACACCCCATCCCTGAGGGCCCCTAACACCGACCGGACGGCACGATGGGAGGATATAAATTGGACTATAATCACAATATGACAGATAGAGAGTGAGACCCTGTTTCCGATACTTGCAGAGGTCCTATGCATTTTTAGCATAATAACCCCTCATCACACTTGCCGAGATTCGAATCTGGGACTTAACCCTTGTGGCACTCCCTCACTACCAGGTGAGCTACGTCCACCGGTCTTTTTATCCATTCACAATTTCACACTAGAAAACATGAGCTTTCGGACAGTGCCAAACCAGAGAATATCAGAATGAGGCAAGAGTGCGGTCCGGTGATGCTGGCAGGTCGAGCCACGTGGGTCCTAGGTAGGTCACTCGGTCAACTTGGGGATCCGATATGAAAAGAATCGGCTGCCACTTTGTGGGCCCCGCGATCTACCCTCCTCCGCCTCGACCGCCTGCCAAGGAAACTTTTTAGCCGTCCGATTCTCCCCCCCATTTCTCTCTGCAGCATTATTATGGGCGTGTCTATGATTTCACATTTATAGCTCTGCAGATTTCGCGGGGTATTCCTCCCCTCCCACTTCTGCACTGTGCGTAAATCTCTCCATCACTTAGGAAGATCCCCTTGTCTTCTCCGGCATCCAAGAAACCGCCTTTGATTATGTTCCCAGAAGATTCCTCGCCCTAAATCTCACTCTCCTTCCTGCATTTCTTTGCGTTTGGTGTAAGTATACTACTCCGGGTACTTCTACTTTGGCTCCCCCAGATGTGTTCGTTTTTCTTTCTCTCCTGGAAAAAGTAAATGTGTGCCACCCTCATTTTTCTTTTTCTTTTTTCCTCACCCCAAACCTTTGACTGGATTTCTTCAAGAAAGGTGTTGAATTTGACTGCATTTAGTTATCTATTTGAAGTTTCCTCACCCAGGATTTAGTTTTGTTTCTGCGCGGATCTGTGGGTTTTTCAGTTCAGGTGTGGATCTTGAGTTTAGTTCAGGTGATTATTGTATTTTGATTTCCCTTTTTCTTTTGGAAGAGAGACCCCAAATTCATCCACTCTCGCAAATCTTAGATCTGTGTTATTTTCAACTTTTAACAGTGCGAATTCTATGTAATTGGGCTGGTTAGAATATGTTTCTGAGTATGGGGAAGACTGTGAATGTTGATCGAAATGATCTTGGAGGACAATGTCCATTTGGGTAATTTTGTGCCTAGCGGATAGTTTTAACCCAAAACCTGGTGTTCTTTAGCTGAATTATATCCATATTTCCCAATGTAGGGCAATTTGATTATTGACTAATCTTCTCCGGTTTGTAAAATTGGGTATTTTTTAATTTTTTCCCCTATTTGGATTCAGGTGACACAAATTGAGGAATTTTCTGATTATTCAGCCATGTTCAGTTAGAAACTGTTTGAAAAGATGGTGTATGTAGCAGAATCAAGCAGGGGAGCTTCACGGCAACACCAGATCTCAAATGTTGGGGGAGAAAAGATCAGATTACCCAAAGTCATCAATGGAAGTCAGAAGTTTGAAGAAATGCCGAACCGTGCAATGGACAAGAATATGATCCGGCCAAAGCCTTCTGAGTGTTACCAAAAATATCAGATGGGTAACAGAGACGAGGAGCTTGTGAAGCACATGTCAAATTTGCCTAAATATCTGCAGAAAGCAGAAGTGGAGAAAAGTGTCCAGTCAAAAGCTTTGAATTTTGGAGTTATTGACTGGAACCATCTAGAAAAATGGAAATACAGTGACCGTATGCCGGCTAAACCTTATGGTTCTTCATCTCCTCAACAAAAACACATCCGGCTGCCACTTTCTCATGAACAACAGCTGTCGGGACCTTTGAAGCACCCTAAAAGAATGCCAATGCCTGGTCAAGAGTTTTTGTCAGGCCCAATTAACCCAAAACCAGTAACTTCTCGAAGGAGCTCTTCAGAAAGCAACATTGACAAAGTCATGAAGGTTTCTGTTGATAAAACTAAACCAGTGAAAGATGATTTGTTCCCCGAGCAGTTCAAGAATGACAGAAGAAATGATCAAGATGGAAGAAATAAGGTGAATCCTGCTCCTGAGCCGCAAAATATTGTTATTCTAATACCAAAGGCAAAACACTCACCTAAAAGGAATTTCTCGGAGACTTCTCAGATTGCAGAATCCATAACAATATCCCAAGGGGACTCATCAGAACTAGATAAGACTCATAAGAGAAGTTCTTCTCACGAATTTTCCTCAAGAGAACAATGTCCTATTTCTCCTTGTCAATATGGCCAGAACACGCATAAATCTAACACTCATGACGTAAATTCAGATTTAGTCACAAACCATCATCCAGGTGAGACTCAAGCTAAAACTTTAAGAGATAAACAGACCAGTTTGGAGTCCATCAAATCAGCTGATAAGGTCAGATGTCCATCACCCACTAGACAGTTTAGCTTGAATCTTGGAATGATGAGTAGAAGTTTAAGTTTTAAAGAGACCACCCCTACAGTTCCACGAATGCATGACTCGCATGCTATTCCCAAGTCCGGTCCAGTAACTTATGGAGTAGAAAAGTCAAAAGCTGGTGGGAAAGGGAGATCATCAAGTCCTTTGAGGAGATTGTTAGACCCACTTCTCCTTAGACCCAGCAAGGGAATAACCCATGTAGAGAAGATGGAACCGAACCCCACGAATACAAACAAACACCCATCGTCTCACGGGGCGCTTCTTCAGCTCAGCATAAAGGATGGTCTCCCGTTCTTGAAATTTGTTGTTGATGGAAGCAATGACATTTTAGTCACTGCTGTCAAACAATTACCCAAACATGGAAATGCTGACGGTTATTATGTTTATTCTATCTATACGGTCTCCGAGATTAAAAAGAAAAACGGAGGTTGGATGGGGCATGGATCAAAGAGCGGTGGGAAATGCAGTGAATTTGGATATAACATGATTGGTCTTGCGAAGGTTTCCAGTTCTTGTGTCTTCAAATCAGGCAAGAGAGAATCTGTGGTTTATAGCGTGAATCTTGGACAGGTGGACGAAAAGAAAACAACACCTGCATTTCTTCCGGACAGGGAGATTGCAGCCATTATGGTTCCGGATTCTGGTAAGGTTGTTGTGGTACGGCCGGCTGGTGTTCATGGGATGCCGGAAAAAGGGGCTCCGTCATCACTGGCTGAAAGATGGAAATCTGGTGGGTCATGTGATTGTGGAGGGTGGGATGTTGGTTGCAAGTTACAAGTTCTCACTCAAGAAGAGAAAGACAGTACTAACCTTGCACTGTTCGTCCAGGTACCTGCCGTGTCTCTCTGTCTCTGCTTATGTAAAAAAATGACGCATGTTTTGTTCCTAAACTGAAACGTATTTAGTCCTATTTCAAGAAAGCCACATACTTGTTACCCAATATGCGCTTTTCTAAATACTTCGTAGTTTTCTTACATTGTACCCAAAAGGCCTAAATGTCTGGCGGCCAGACTCTGTCCCACTGAGGCACTGACCACTGCCTTTGGTTCATTGTTTGAGAGGTAAGTACCTAAAAAATTACTTGCCTCTGGCCACTGAACACCGCCACTTGATTCACGAACAGCTTGCTTGTAAGTCAATAGGGTGGGTGGTCGGTGTGGGTGCAATATGGCAAGGGCGAGGGTATGTTGCTCATATCAGCCAATTTATGTCCTGTGGAATTTATGATTGTTCTCACGACTCTTCTCTTAATAGGAGGGAAAACATGAGAGGAAACTGGTCTTTAGCTTGGCAAATTTGAGGAACGGGCTTTATTCAGTTCAATTTGACAAATCTGTCCCTTTGCTAGAAGCATTTTCCATATGTGTAGCCATCCTAATGAGCCAGAAAAAGGTGTGCAGCATGTTTGAGGTAAAGGAACCTTCAGTTTCCTCTGATGGTGTGCGGCAAACTGATACGACGAAGGTTGTCCCAGGGGGGCAGGGATCTGCAAGATATGTGCCATCTCCACCACCTTCCCCGGTTGCACGGATCTAGTCTTTTGTTTTCTTGCTTTAAGAAATGTAAAGCTCTTAGTAATGCTTTTTCCTAGTGTAATGGAAGTTTGTTCAACCGCTGCTTCTGCTAGTATAGAACCTTGAAACATGAAAGCTAACGTTAAACAAGTAGTTTCTGAGGGCATTTTGACATTTTGTACGTATCAAGTAGAAGAGTTTTCCTGAAAACTTCTGGTCTTAAAAAGGCACAATTGATCAAGTTATATAGTACTCCATAGTAAATATAGTGATTGTGATTGGGAGTATTTCATTTCATTCTATCAAATTTGATAAAGTTTGTGCGGTTCTAAATCATTTTTATTATTGCTTTATCAATTCAATATCAATCTTATAAATCTGTTTTAATAATCGTGTCATATTATCTTGGCTCAGTGTTATCTCTTGCCTCAATCTTAGTAAGATTGAGGTAGTACTTTTATAGAATGAACATGGAAGGTAAAATTTAGTAAAAGTAACGCATGAAAAATGCTACGATTGAAAGACAGGATTGGCCTGGCTCATTTGACACGGTCATTAAGCAAAATTGGATTATGTAATTTATGTTGAAAACTTGAAACTTTGAAAGAATTAATTCCACTTTTCATCCTATGAGTTCTGTATCAATTTCACATGTAGTCCGCGTATCTCACTTTATTCACTTTTGATATTTGACAAATGTTTTCTAATTGTTTGTCGTCCTTTTCTAGCGATTTTGACCATTAGATACATTGCCGGAAGGATCATATATGGACGAAAACACAATAATCATATATCAATGTTCAAAAGTGGGTAAAGTTAAAGATGTGGACTAAATATGAGATTGACTGAAAACTCATAGGACCAAAAGTGAAATTCATTCCACTCAAAAAAAACATCTCATAAAACTTGCTCAAGCTAGTAAAAACGGGTTTGAATGTTGAAAAATGCTAGAAGTACAAACTTACAAAAAAACTTACAAACAAGTGGTGTGGCTATTGTAATTATCTTTGATGTAAAAGTGTTGTAAAGGTGACGTGATGTGTTAAATAATGAAATGATGCCACATACCCTTTTTGTAAGAGTTTTTGTACTTCTACATAACTGATGAATGTTACTTTTTCGTTAAGCGGCTTCGATATTATCATAACTTCATAAAGTTCCACAATACACATCTCAGTCTAGAAAAACGATTATGTCAAAATTATTTCCGTACTGTGCGACCAAATCAACAAATAATATTATTGATAAAAAGGATTACTAAGCTATATTAAGTATTAATCAATAGTATTATTTGATTATATGAAGCCGTGTTTTTACTGGAATTTCCAGAAAATCAGAATCACAATCCTCACATTCAAAATGACAAAAACTTCATTTCCCACTAGACCCTGACACTCGTAGTAACCGAATGTCATACGGAGTATCACTTCTGAAAAAATGCGTGGTGTACACAAAATGTATACGCCTTTTTGTACATTTTTCTGTCTTTCGCAGACAAGTTGCCTGTCACAGACAATTCAAAAGGAGTTGTTTGTGACACACAACTCGTCCGCGAAGGACAGACAAGTGTACAAAAAGATCTGATACAAATCCTTATGGGAACTATTGTATGGGACGGAGGGAGTAAATATAAACATGTGTATAGTAAAACTAACTTGGTGGTTTACATACCAAACAAATTGAAATGTTAGAGAATACAATTTGTTAAAATAATAGTAATGATAGTAATAATAAGTCTAACAATTTAGATTTAAATAAATTAGAAAAAGAAATTGAAGTAGTGAATGAAATCGTCGCCATTCAAAATCCAGTAAGTTCCTTTAATTTGTTTAAAGAAGTACGTAGCAAATTAGTTTTGCTAAATTGGATAGAATTTGACATTTAGATTCATTTAAAATTAAAAATAATTGGACCACGAGTCCATTCTGTAGTCTTTACAATCCACTCACAATAAAAGAAAACCAAGTCTGAGACCTGCATAACCTCACTTGCTAGAGCCTATAAGCTTCTGAATTCTGAATTAGCAAAACACATAACTTTTATATTTGTTTACTTTTTGACATAAAATAAAGATATGTTTGAAAAATCAAAACAAAACTTTGTCTTGCTTAATAGGTGTTAGATCAAACTGAGAACATCGCTTCCATACGAAGTGAGTATAAGATAAGTTTTTTGTCATAATAACTAAACAATCACAACAAGTCCATATGTCTATTATTTCAACAACTCTAACACTCGGTAATGAAGATTTACAGATGTTAAAAAATGGCAGCTGCTACGTATAATAATATAATATTAATATTAATATTATATAATTATATATTAGAGAACAAAATTCGTAAAATCCACAAGCTACTGTCTACTAACACTTGCATGAAGCTATATTTTACAAGTCAATATAGGAAGCATGGTGGATGCATATAAACCAGTGACCATCAATCTTCTCAAAAACATTAGTGGCAAACTGTTTACCCCAGCTGCTGCCCTTAGTTTTCACCATCTCAATGCAAGTAACATAGCCAAGGTCACCTTTAACGTGAACCTCCACGTCCCTGATCTCAATCTCCAAGGGGAAATCATAGTCAGCCCACACAAACTCCCAGCTTCCCATCACAAGATCATACCCACATATTCCGCTCACCCCGGGGTGCACCACACAAACATTCTCACCCTTTGACCAGATAGATTGCATGGTAGCCAAGTCACCGGTCCTGAATGAATTGTAGAAACGAGCATTTGCTGCTAAAACTGATGCTTTGCTGTCCTCGTGCAGAAGACGAAGGTCATCCCTGATTTTTGCTGCATGAGGATAGTTTTCCTCTTTAATGGCAAGCTGTAATTCCTGCTCCATACTCTGCTCGTTCAGTAAAATGCTGTCCCCACTCAATGTTCCTTCTTCTGTGTCCTCTCTTTTGAGTCGGCATTGCATGACTAGAGGATTTGGCCCTGAACAATAAACACACAAGTACACAATCCGTAATAAATTATTCAAGATAAATTTGTAGTTACAGATGTTATATACATTAATAATTATACCACAAAGAGCTTTGACCCATGGCTATTGCACAAATATTGTACACTACAGAGGGAGGGGCTCCATGCATTAAACCCTCAAATTCCATATGAAATTTTTCATTGAAAATAAAAACAAAGAAACTAACACAATATTAATTGTTTCTTTGTGCTTCTAGTAACTTATGATTAGAAAGAACCTGTTCTCTTCACTTGAAAAACATCTTGATGTGACTGTTTAAAGGTTTGGTTCATGTTTCTATTAGAAAGAACCTGTTCTCTCTTATGTGGTCTGATCTCAATGTTTATAGCCTTGTCTAATTTTCTATTTCGAAATATAACATCATATTGTCCATCATTTGCAATGGAGCCAAAGACTCACTATTTTTTGGTTTGGAATATGATGGAATAAAGCAAAATGGCTCACTAAACTGTTTGCGCTTCTTCGTTATGAAGGAGCAGCCCGTCCATGTAATTTTCGACGCGACTTCACTATGGGACATCCGGGAACAGGGGTAAGGCTGAGTACATTCCAACCCCCCTTACCTCAGCATAGGTGGGAGCCTTTGCGGCACTGGGGTAATGATAATGATGATGATGAAATATAACATCAAGTCTGGTTTAGACTGATCTGAAACTTTATGATCTGCTATGACCCTATGATTAAAATAAAAATACGTAATAAGCAAGAAAGTAATGCAAAGAGAACATCAGTTTAGTAAACACTTCAAGGAAAACGATTCACAGTATGCATACTTCAGTTAAGAAGCCAGAGCAGCAGAAGTTATTTGAGAATGTAAAGCGAAGATAACATCACTGAAGTAAACACTTCATGGAAAACGGTTAGCAATATGCATACATTATTTAAGAAACCAGAGCTGCATACATCAATCAGATAAGGATAAGACACGGAATGCCTACATTATTTCAGTGGTATGCTCAATGAGACATGAATTATAATCACAACATCTAAGCTAGTTGAAAAACTTCAAAATGATTCAAATTTAGGAAGAAACTAAAAATTACCTAAGATTTTATGTGAAGGCAAATCAATTGGCCCATTTGTCAATCGTCTTGGGAAATTTCTACTGCACTGTTTTTGGTAACGTGAAGGCAAAAAATAAACTGCCTGAATACGACTGACTGAATTGGGGTGATTCCCATGGCTTCTGACATCAACATTGCTTCCCTAAAATCAAAGTACAAGGCCGCGAGAGGAAATCAGTATAAAAAAGCCCCTTCAAAATTGCTACAAATGTAACCATTAAACAATGAGCATGCTATCAAAGTACTGGCTGGGTTGGCTTCAAATACAAAATCGGAGATCAATTTTAATAACTCTGACAGTTAGACTGGATGTGGAAGGCTGTCCCTATGGAATATGCCTTTTTCATGCTTGGTAAATTTATTCTTATTAGAGATTATAAACTTAATAGTTCACATGTAAAGATTTTCTTCATTACAGAAATACAGATTAATAGATTATGCTCACATTATTAGACCATTTGAGTTCATCATTAGGTATGCTGCTATGTTTTGCTGGCATGCCAAGTGTAGAGTTATTCATATTAACCATAATAGTGAAACATAGATTAACTAATCTTCTTTTTACATGTCAAATAAGTAATTTTGACTTCAACATTGATAATGATTATTGAAAATACATAACTGTAAGATTCGGTCTTTAGTAAAAATGAGTTAGCTCAGGTTGGCCATCTTTGCTCAAATAACTATGAAAAAAGTTGTTGAAAAGTGAACCCAATGTCAAATCGGCTTAAGCTCTAAACTTCTTAATGCAACATTTCTTTTAGTTGGCCAGTTTGAGGATCAAACTAATCATCAGGGAAAACCTACGAACTGCCTATCACTGTAATTAATGTGTTTTGCTAAGTTATAAACCGAAATAAATGAAGAAACGTCTTTTTTCAAAAGCTGAAATTCATTAAAAAATGTACTCCGTATTATAGAGGTGCAAGAAAGAGGACTAAAAATTAATAGAATATACAGTAATAATTCATATGATCCTTAACTTGGTAGAAGAGATTGATCCGACTGATTCGACGTGGCAAAGAAAATGCAGAGAATTTCGAAACCTCCATCGGAACCGTTAGCTGCGCGCACATGTTGACAAACAAACATGCGCGAGTGAGAAGATTAAGTAATCGACTAAACAGATCATATTCACCGAGTTAGTGTCGTTTACCTGTAAAAGGTTAGGAGATCCAAGTCGCCGACGAAGAAGACTTTTATCCGTCGCCGGTGAGAGTCAGAGTCGGCAACATTGTTGGCTGAAGTACAGGGAAATTAAGCTACGCAGTTCCTGGGTCTGTGGGATAGGAATATCGGATACGCCGGAGCCCAAGTTCCGCAGGCCCATACATGTACTTCAAAACCATCACCTCCCTCCCTATTTAAACTTGAATAATGGATCGGAGCCCAAGTTTCGTAGGCCCAAGTTTCCCAAAATAATGCAAATTAAAAGGTATTTAAGTAAATAGGATCAGATTAAAAGTATTTATGGATATACTGACGGACTTAAACCGAGTTAGGCAAAGTCGTCAAATGGTTTGATGACTTATAAGTCGCCAACTGGGATGACGACTTATAAGTCATCAAGCGGTTTGATGACTTTGCCTCTAGACTTGCAACACAAAAACAGCTAAAAACAAGAAAACCTAGCAGAAATGTAGCAACACACTTGGTCACAAACACAGTATAGGTACATAGCAGAAACATTCAACATACATAACCTAACACACTAACACAATATAAACAAATGATTAAGTAACTTATAACATAATATCCAATAGTTTGCAGGTGGACATGCTAAAGTTCATAACATAAGATACAACGGAGACAAGCTATAAGTTTTCATGCTCTTCGCAGTGGCGAAACCAAACCATTTTTTGAGGGGGTGGTGTGGTAAGTCAAAGTCGGATCAATACAAAGTTGACTCGGGTCAAAACGAGAGGGAGTAAGGTGAAATATAATGTAGGATCGAAATAACTAATTTATTCATGATAGCAAAGAAACAAGTGGATAAATAGCTTAAGCGTAAAATGAGATGATACTTTAGATGGAAAAATCTCATGAATCCTTTCATATTGCAAATCCATAATAATGTAGTGTAGTCTAACTGTTTGCTGCACTGGCTACTCCAAATAAAAAATCAAAAATTAAAAATAAAAGATCAGGTTTCAAAGAGACATCGAAAAGAGAAAATTGATTTGGCTAGCAACCAAAAAAGGAAATCATGTCAACTAGAAATTGTCTGAATCATCGGATTGATCGGACACCGAAAATCATTAAAAGATTTAACGTATTCCTTATCAAAAATGAAGAATTTAATCTAACATATTCGCATGTAGGCTTAGCTTAAAAATATAATTATATACAGAGTACACTATAGAATGGAAGTTATAAATATATGTATTGTTAATGGCATACACATTACATAAAAATTGTCAAGTTAGTTATTACAAAGTACATAGTATAAAATACTAGTAATACTGCTAAAATCACAAAAACAAGTAAAAACACGTCAAAATAGTTTAAAACAATAAAAAGTTAAAGATTATTAAAATTAATATAAAATCACGAAATTAACTACATAAATCAAGAGATGAAATTAACTAAACAATGGGGTGTTTGGAAATTGCTATTAGTTGTTAGCTGATTCTGTTGGCTGGTTGATGGCAACGGATTCCGTTGGTTGTTATGATTAACCGATAGTATTAGTAGTTTGTGAAAGAATGCTTGGTAAAATGATTATTTGCAATCGGCTGCTAGCTTGTTAGTTGACTTTCAAGGACATCAATTAAATTCGTATGTATTTTTTTTGTGCGGTGATTTTTTTTGTTGTTAATAATTTGAGAACCTTAAGAGTTACACCTTGGCTTAGAAAAGAACACTAATATTCAATTGCATATGGGAATTATAAGGATCTCTTTCAGTTTCTTGTCAGAGGCAGGTTTGTGAGTTTACTTGCCCAGAACTTCAAACGGAAGGTGAACTTTACTTTTGAAGAATGAAAACCGAATGATTAAATTTCATACGTAGTACTATCTCCGTCCGATAGACTTTGCCAAGTATAAAATAGGTGAGAAATAAGAATAGTAAAAACTGTGTGGTTGAAATTTGTGCAGAAGAGAGAGAAATGTGTAGAACCACAAATTAGTTGCTTTAATAGAAAAGTGACAAACTTTTTTTGGACAACCAAAAAATAAAAGTTGGCAAAGTCCAATGGGACATAAAGAGTATATTTTTTAATTTTATTTTCTTACTCAATATATATGAAGTATATGAAGTACCTGGAAGTCTCCATTGGCTACCCTAAGAATCACCCACCTTCAAACATCAAAACAAAGAGGGAATCATAATCCTAGATCTATCTACAATCGAATCAGAAAAACTCCACAAGAAAACTTATGTGAAGAAGAAGTATTTCTTGGAAGAGCAAAGTCGGATAATTTTTCGTAGAAGAAGCACTGGATAAGTAAGTGAGAAAGAAGATTTCTCCAAAACTATTTTTTTCTTTCTTTACAGCAAAAGATGTCGAAGTGACAGAGCAAGAGGAGAACGAAGCACAACGGTCTACGGGTAAAATAGGGATATACGGCAAATTCTTAAACGGCCGAAGGCAAAACGCTACTTTATTGGCGAACGAAAAAGTTATTTAACCAAACACTCACATTGACAGTTCAAAACAGCCAAAAAATGGCCAATACTTTCCTCACCAAACACCCCACTACGAACAGGACTACAGGATAATTGCTAAAAACCTAAAACAAATCAAAAGTTTAGTAAAGTTTAATTTATACTCCATAAAGGATAACACAATAACACACCAATTCATCAAGTCTTTGAAGTTCGAATGTTCGATCCTTCGCTAACGACGAGACACTGAAGCGACACTCCCTTGCGGCTTGCGTTTCAGCCCATAATTTTCTCAAATTTCTTTGTTACTCACATGCCCAATTATTCTCTTATGTCTATTTCTGTACGACGTCGTTTCCCATTGAACAATCATTTAACCGAATGGTGTTGTTTGGAATTTCGAATAAAGTTTTGAAAAAACACCCAAGCAGCCGGAAGGAAATAACAGGTGCTTACAGACAGAGTAGGTGCCGGAAGAATCTTGAAAAAGACCGGGGCGCCATGGAATATATATGTAACACTACTTCATAATTTCTGGCGAATGGGGGTGCCGGCTAGCCCCCTAGTTCCCCCACTGGCTTTTCGTGATCATCTTGGTCATTCAGATGTGGTTATGGGCACATACGTCTATGCTGCTGGCGTGGCTAAAGAAAACTATGTCACGACTCATGGAGCAATTTTGAATATGACTTCTCCCAACCTCCAAAAGTTTCGACAATGGCCTTTTGCTTGCCCAACCCGGCAACCACTGGCGGATTTTGCAACAAAATGTGGAGTGTTCAAAATTATTTCAACATTAAAATATTACTCAATAATATTATTCGATCCAACAATTGAAGAAATGTAATTTTTTTGAACTACAAAAAACTAGCAAATGGGGTGTAGAATAAGAAATATTGTACAAAAATACAAACTATAAATTATTACATCAATTTTATATCTATTTTTGTGCTTTATTTTCACATTTTTGGGTGTTCAGCTGAACACCCTTGAACCAAAGGGATCCGCCATTGCCGGCAATCCCCATGTTCGTTTGTAGGAAACACTCTAACCATATTTCTCTTCATCAACTCAATAATAGTGTGAACTCTAAGTGATTGATCAATGCGAAGAAGGTCAATTACACCTCAGGCAATAAATTCCGAAGTAACAGCCACATGATCATCATTGTCATTGTTGCCAACGCAACTGGCACAATGAGGTCCAACATAATGCACAATCTTGAGCATCTCAAGACTTGCATGTTTCTTTGTATCCCGTATTCTCCAAATGCAATCACGTTCTTTTTTTTCTCTTGCACTCTGCAACCCATCTACGTTTATCTGAATCTAGCACATGACAAAATTGGTTGCGCTTGATAAAATACAAGCTCATCATATTGATGAGTTGTTGCTTATCATCATATTGTTGATCACCTCAAATTCATCATCTACTGTGAACCTGTTCACTTGTACCACTCCTCCTCAAAGCCGGATGGGATCTCATATATTCTAGTAAAGTGAGAGAAAGAGGGGTAATCTTCTCTTGGTTTTGATGACTCTAGCTGTTCACACTTGTACCACTCCCCCATGCTAAAATGAGAGGCATTCTTCCATATACTTAAACTCTACTTAGAATAGTAATTTTTTATATTTTTCTAGCATTGTTTAGTCTTCAAATGAGGAGCTAAACTTCCATTTCTTGGTTTTGCTCTTGAAGCTTGTTGAATGTTTAAGCTGTGAATAATTTTCTTAATTTCTTCTCTTGAATATATATATTCTTCCCTTAATCCTATTTTTATTAATGTTGGAGTGTTGCTAAGTGATGATTAGTTAACGCTTTGATAGTAATTATTACTAGAAACAATCAATGAACCAATGATTAATCATTGATAGTTTCACAAGTAAGTAACTTCGAGTTATTAATGCTAGGTTGTGGTTAGGGATGGACCGGTTCCGGGCCGGGCCTGACCGGGCTTTTTTTGGGGAAGTGAGGCCCGGAACTAGGGGTGGGTTCGGTTCTTGCGATTCGATTTTGACCTAAAACCAAATATATAACCAAAGTAAAAAGTTCGGTTCGGTTTCACACTCCAAACCATGGAACCACGGTTTGATTGGTTCGGTTTGTTTTGATTCGGTTTCGGTCTTTTCGGGTTTTTACGAAAAAATTATCATTTGATTTAAAATTGATATAATACTTTGAAGGATCAAACATATTACATAAAGAATGCAAGAACACTACAACAAATAAAATAAAAATGAAAATAAATAAATATGTCTTGAATTATATGAGTATGCGAGAGAGAGATAAGTATATATATTATTAATTTACATTGTTTATGACTAGTTCAAAAAAAGTTCATGAGCATGTGTGTCCTATGTGATATAGTTGAGATATATATTTATTGTTTCATCAACATGAATTCTTTAAGTTAAATAAAAATAAAAGTTAATTGATACTAATAACTACTTAACTAAACTACACTATAGCATCATTATGTAGTAAAAACATATTATCATCATTCAGTATAGCTACATTATTACAAGCAATGAATGTGTAAAAGAATTTATAAACTAAACTAAACTAAACATAACACAAACATTATTTCTCTAGCACAAGAAAACCAAAGACTATTAATGATATTAGGATTAATACTTAACAATTGACAAATAAATTTTATATTTTAATTAGTTCGGTTTGTTCGGTTCGGTTC